GTAATGAAACAAGGTGTATGATTTGTTGAATGTAAAACTGATGATCTGCCCTGTAAACTTTCACTCAATCCACAATAAAAACTTTTTTTTAAAAAAAAAACTAAAAACCAGCTGTAATAGTACATTGACAGGGAACCGCCAGAGGGTCAAGCTGGATTCAGACAAGGACGTGGAATGAAGGATATCATTGCTGACATCATATGGATCTTGGCTGAAAGCAAAGAATACCAGAAACATGTTTACCTATGTTTTATTGGCTATGCAAAGGCTTCCGATTGTGTGGCTGACAAGCCATGGACAACATTGCGGAAAATAAGTATTCTGGAACACTTAATTGTGCTATGAGGAACCTGTACATAGTTGTTCGAATAGAACAAGGAACACTGAATGGTTTAAATTTAGGAAAGGTGTGTGGCAGGGTTGTATTCTTTCACCATGCTAGTCTATCTGTATGCTGAGCAAATAATTCTAGAAGCTCGATTATGTGAAGAAAAACAGCATCAGGGTTGGAGGAAGATTGATGAACAACCTGTAATATGCAGGTGACACAATCTTCCTTTCTGAAACTGAAGAGGACTCAAAATACTTACTGATAAAGATCAGAGACCACAGACTTCAGTATGGATTGAACCTCAATTTAAAGTGAACAAAAATCTTCACCACTGGACCAATAAATAACGTCAAGATAAATTGAGAAAAGATTGAAGCTATCAAAAACTTCATTTTGCTCAGATCAACCATCAATACTCATGGAAACAGCAGTCAAGAAATCAAACAACACACAGCATTAGGAAAATCTGGTGCACAAGACCTCTTTGTAGTGTTCAAGAGCACAGATGTCATTTTGAAGTCTAAGGTTTGCCTGACCCGAGCCATAGTATTTTCAAGAACCTCATATGCTTGTTGAAGTTGGACAATGAATAAAGAAGACCGTAAAAGAATTGATCCATTTGAGTTATAGTGTTGGATGAGAATACTGAAAGTACCATGAACTGCCAAAAAATCAAACAAATCTGTGTTGGAAGAAGTACAGCCAGAATGCTCCTTAGAAACCAAGATGGCCAGACTTTGTCCTCGTACTTTGCAGATTGTCAGGAGGGAACAGTCCCTGGAGAAGGACATCGTGCTTGGTAAAGAAGTGACAGGGCAGTGAAAAAGAGGGAGACCTCCACTGAGATGGACTGGCACAGTGGCAGCAGCGATGGCATAGCACGATGGTGAGGTTTACATAGGACCAGGCAGTGTTTCCTTCTGTTGTGCATAAGGTCGCTATGAGCAGGTACTGACTCGATGGTACCTAACACCAATAACCCGTTACCTATATATGGACATGCATGTACTGCCATGCACCTTCCCACACCTATAAAGCATACACATCTACCTATGTAACCACTCACAGTATTTTGACTGTTATTACTGTTTTTGCGGAATAAAATATGTTATAGTGTTTACCCAGAGTGTCCTTAAATTTTGCTTACTTCTTAGTGTCTCCATTTACTACCTTGGTCATGTGCCGATTTACCCATATTGTGAAGTCCCTTTCTCTTCACTAGAATTACTAATCACAAGGTCAATGGTTCAAGCCCACCATTGCTCCTTGGAAGTCCTACACAGTGTCACTATGAGTTGGAACCGACTCAAAGACATTAAATACAACTATCTAGTAAGTTGGATAACGACCAAGGAAGACCACAAAAGGATCGATGTATTTGAAATCTGGTGTTGACGAACAATATTTAAAAGTATCATGGACTGCCAGAAAAGCAAACCAATCTGTCTTGGAATTAGTATAAGAAGTGAGGATGTGTCAGACAGCGTGCTGTTTAATTATAGTAGCTCACTGAGACATAGCTACCATCATGGTGACCTTCTTAGGAGAGAAAACAGGATTCGAGGTTGACTTCTGCACAATGGTGAATTACTCTCTACAACTCCTCTCTTTTCAACTTCCACCAGACATTTCTGCCCTGCTGGATCTGGGTAAGAGATGGAAGAAGATGCTGACAGAATTATCTGATTCAGTTGAGTGGTTAGAGGTAACTGTGATTCTAAAAACCTGGAACTCACTAACATGTATAAAACGAGCCATCTCAGAATCATGAGTGAGGGCTCTCCTACTATGCAGGAGTCAGGAGTAGAGCCTGTCCTCTGGACTCTTGAGATCCCTGCGCACTGAACCTCCTTGACCCAGTGACATAAAGCTGCACCACCAAGAGTGGCAGAGGGACAGCAGGTCAAGACAGAGCGGTGGGCATCCGATTCCACGGAGCCAACCAATAAAGCTGAGTGACTTTGCTAAGAGGCTTGCCTCCAGGTACTTAATTGGGGGAGTTAGGTTTGCTGACCTATCTATGCCTTCAGACTGAGGTTTACAGTGTAATGGTGTGCTCTGCGGACATTTATCAGTAACCCGAGAAGAGCTTTGTAATAGTGGTGGGGCAGAGAGGCCTGCCTGTGGGCAGTGAGAGGCTGCCCTGACCGGAAGAACTCTGCCCTGAATATTTTGACTCAAAATCATATCCTGTTAACTTCCTTAATAAAACACGTAACTCTGAGTATGGTGTCTGAGTTCTGTGTGACCACTGCAAGCAATTCTTACACCCAGCTGAGGAGAAAGTGCTGTGGGCGTGATGAGTGTGTTTGCTGTTGGCGTGTTCATTTTGTTTTTTTTTTTTTACAACTTCCCCTGAGTGCCGCTACTAACAACCAGTCAGAATTCATACCCAGTTGGTCTCACTCCTAAAACTGGCCACATGACCTCCCTGTATTCAAGAACTGATGCTTAAGCATACTTTATCTCATCTATATGTCACAACACACAAATGAGGCAAACACTAGTAAGTAGTTCTAGTTTTTGCATAAATAAATAGAGACCTGGGGAAGTTCATTTGCCCAGGGTCCCTCAGCTGTTGGTGAGAGCTGGGGTTTCACAAGGTTGTGTCTGAATCCACAGCCTGTATTTCTAACCTCTACATCGACTGTCCCCACCCAGAGGCCCCCTCCTGGTCTACTGTTAAGTGTCACCAAGTCTCTTCCAACTCAGCAACCCTGTACAGAGCTTCTGAGTCTATAAATCTTTGTGGGAGCAGAAAGCTTCTTTTTCCTGTGAAGTGGCTGGTGGACTCGAACTGCTGATCCTATGGTTTTCAGTCCAGTGTTCATCCCACAGGGCCACCATGCCCCCTCCTGGTCTACTGTTGTTAAATGCTGCCAAGTTGGTTCTAACTCATAATGACCCTGTATAGGGTTTTCAACGATCTGCTGGTGGGTTTGAACCACCAATCTTGCGGTTAGCAGTTTGGGCTTATCCTACAGCACCACACCTGGTCTATTAGGCTGACAATAATCCCAAACTTAGGCCCTTCCAGACCCAGGGCAGCTCCAGAGCTTTGGTCTCCTCCTCAGGTCCTCAGTCTGCCGGCTTCCTCTTCCCACGCTGACCCAGTTAACAATTCTCACTGAGCAAATGGACACTGAGGGGACAGTGATGAACGGACAGGCACCAACCCTCCCCCTCATCAGAGAACTCTCACATGAAGATGAGAACACCAGAGCAGCATCTTAGTTTTTATTAATGTGACTTTTTAAAAACAAGCGTCCATAGGCGTGCAGGGAGGAGGGAGAGAAGGGGAGGGCAGAAGAGCTGAAGGGCTTCCGCCTTACTGGTAATAAAGCTCCAAGTTCATCCCATCGTGGATTTCATCTGAAGTGAAGATGTTAAGGAATCCTCCCGTGGCTGTCACCCCCACCCTTTTCATCCACTCACAGCTGGGTCAGGAGGGAGGCTCAGCTCTGGGCCATGGAAGTCATCTTGAGCTAGCCCATTTTGAAGAATCCAATATAGAAAAATAGTTCTTGCTTCCAGTCCTTCCCACACCATGCCTGACCTCCTAGCCAACACTAAGGAGGAGCAAGAATGTTTACTATACCCAGTGCACAGTAAGAAATATTTTGATCTTTACCGTTAAAAAGTCTTCTATCCTCCACTGCTAGTCAGTTGATTCCAACTCATAGAGACCCTACACGGCACAGAGCAGAACTGCTCCTTCGGGTTCTGCGATCTTTAAGGGAACGGAGTGGATTGGAGTGGTGGTGGTAGCTGTGTGCCAGCGAATCAGTTTCCACTCCCAGCAGCCCTGTATAGGGTCGCCCAGGCTGTCAACCTTTATGGGAACAGAAAGCCTCATCTTTCTCCCTCAGAGCAACTAGTAGATTCCAACTGTTGGCCTTGCGGTTAGCAACCCAGCATGGAATCCATTACACTACCAGGGGTCCTTTGAAGGGAACAGACCACCTCATTTTTCTCCCTCCGAGTGGCTGGTGGATTTGAACTGGTGGCCTTGTGGTTAGCAGCCCAATTAGCTCACAGTGCCACCAGGGCACTTTAAAATCCTCTAACATCTGTCAAAATATTTCACCAGCCAACAGCTCCCATCCCTCAACAAAATAGTTACATGGGTCCTTCTAAGTGCTTATCATGTGCCACAAAGTAAACACCTTTCTGCATAAGCCCTTTACATTTCGGTACTGATTGGACCGCAAGGTTGGCTTGAACCATAAGGCCGGCGGTTCCAACCCACCAGCCACTCCCTGGAAAACCCATACAGGGTCGCTATGAGTCAGAACTTAACAACAATGAATAACAAGAAGCCGAGCCAGGTATGCAGAGCCATCCTCAAGAAATCATACAAAGGATACAGTCACCCAGACACACGTGGTCCTTAAAAATGGTGTACCTACGGGATAAAGACTTTTCAGAGAGGGGTCCAATAGGCGCTTCACCCTGAGATAGGCTGAGGAAGCCCTGCCTAAGCAAAGGACTACCTTCAGCACTCCCCCAACCCAAACCTGGCCCCTCAATTCTACAACCATAGCACTCACCACTTCTTAAGGACGATCTTGTTCCAACGGGTGCCAGTTTGGGCTGCAATCAGCTTCTTCAGGTCCCCGATGGTGTCATCAGTGCTGGGCGCAGAGGAGTTACGGAAAATGCAAAAGGGTGGAAGGGCCAGGAAGAGGGGGCATGCTAACGTTCTGCCAGGACGCGATCCTCCCCCGCCCCTGACCCCGACTGAATGAATGCCTGCCTCTCCGTTGCTAAAGGATACTTGCATTTGACGCGGACCTTCTTCCCCAGACGATCGTTGCAAACCACCTCAATCATCCTAGGATAGGAGGCGCCGGGGTCAGGCCTCTGAAACCCCAGACGTCACGTCTCTCAGGTCCCCCAGCACTCCATCATCATCACTAGGTCCTCCTCTCACCCCTTCCCAAGGCCTGAACCTGGGCCCTAAATCCCGCAATCCCGCTCAGCCCTGCCGTGTTGCCGGAACGTCGGGCCCCAGCCACGCCTCTCGCAGGCATCTAGAGGGCTGAGACCCGTCGGCTCTCCACGGCCCTGATCCCCTCCACTCGGTCAGCTCACCTCGAATCTCCTCCAAGCTACCGAAGACGCCACAACCTCCAATCCTGAACGCTGAACCGGGCCGCAGAGATCGCTCCGAACCGGAAGCGGAAGTGCGCATCCGGAGACACCACCCCTTACCTCGCTGCGATGGGCGGGGCTCTTTTCAGCCCCGGGCGGGGGTGTTGGCTCGGAGGACGCTGAAGTCCTCGCGCGGGCGGAGTAGGGGATCCGGGGCTACATCAGGCTAGGAAAGGGGCGTGGAAGGAGTTGATGCGGCGCCTTCGCTGCGGCGGATCCTGTTATGGGTCTTGGAGTGAGCACGTTGTTTTGTTAGGGACGGCGCAGAGTAGGAGACTCAGTCCGGGATCTCAGGAGAGCAAGTTTATTGCCGGCGGACAGTGTCAGCTATTGCTTAAACCACTCTGACCCCTAGTGCTTGAAAAAGTGAGCGTATATAAGCAGGTGTTGTTAGCTATAGGGTGAAAACTTTTCAATTAAATGTTCTTCCTGTTATTCAATTTTGCAAGATTTGTTTCAGCTTTGCGGGGTTTCCTGTTACAGGCACAGAGTAGCCAGGATGTTTTCTGTCTAAGGGGGTGAGGGGCAAGGCAGGAAGGCCCCAGCTTGGCTACAGTTTTGTATTCATATAGAAATAGCGGGTCACACAAGGTGTTGGTGATAGTTAGCCCTAGATGGAGGGATTGGAGAGTCTCCATTTCACCTTTGGTACTTTTTAGTGTTTCCCTAGATTTCTTACATTGAACAGGTGTTACTTTTGTAATCAGGGGCGAAAGTCGTTTTTTAAAAAGTTCTAATTTCTCAAATGGAATCCTGGTTTGGCGTTGTAGGATAAGCACTGGACTGCTAACCACAAAGTTGGCAGTTCAAACCCACCAGTCACTATGCCGAGTCACTATGCAGGAACCGACTCGAAGGCACTTAATAACAACTTCTTAGTACTTGTTTTAGAAATAGCTCCAGTACAGCCTCCTGTCCTGAGTGGTAGGCTTGAGGGATCTAGACAGGGCTGCTGAGGAGTAGGAAAATCTGAAAATCGGTCTGAGCTCTCTGGGGGTTAGGACTTCATGAGGCGTGTCAGAGCTCTGCTGGGAAAGGGAGACATGCCTCAAGTTTGTTAACCTGGGGAAGGAGTTGAGAACAATGAGGTCTCAGGACGAGACTGCTCACTGGACCCAGATGGGAGAGATAGGGGTCTCATGAAATAGGTCAGATGAGACCTCATCTTTTGTGGCCCCTCCCTACACCCTGGTAACAATAACTGGGGACTTCCATGAAGGACCCAGGGTCCCATTTAGGGACTGGGACAACGCCATCCCCCTGTCTGGGCAGAATCGGCTTGGGGGTTTAGAAGGAGAGTTCTGGCAAGCCCCTTCTGTCTCCTTGTTTCCTGGTGGTTTCGAAGCCAGAAGGAGAGTGTATCTGAGGTGGTTTTCTCCCACCTGACTCCCTCTCTCCCTCCCCCTCACTTCTATTTCCTGGGTGGGGTGGGCAGAAGATGGGTCTTAGGAACCCCCTGTAACTGAGCTGGGGCAGGGTCATCTAGGTTCTGCTGAACTTAAAAGTAGCCCCACCTACCCACCTAGAGTTCACAGGGGTGGGGAGGGGGCCATCATAGGAGTGGGGGGGGGGGCTGTTGCTTTGGAGAGTTTCCTTCCCTCAACATCTGCCTTAGTTGTCTAGTTCGCTAACAGAAATACCACAAATGGTGGTTTTAACCAACAGAAACTTATTCTCTCAGGGTTTAGAAGGCTAGAGGTCTGACATCAGGGCACGTTCTCTCTCTGTGGGCTCTGGGGGAGGTCCTTGTCTTTGATCCCTTAGTCCCTGGTTATCATTAAGTGGCATCTGTCTTCCCCATCTCAGCTTCTTCAATTCCTTGCTTCTTGTTGAGTTCCGTCACGTAGGTTCCAACTCCTAGCAACCCAGTGTAAGGTTTCCAGGGTTTGAACAATCGACCTTGTGGGTCACACTCCAGTGCTGATCCTACAGCGCCACACCAGGAGTCTAGTTCTTTGCTTAATTGGCTCCTTTTATATCTCAAAAGAAATGGATTTAAAACAAATACTATACTAACACTTCTCATTAACATGACAAAGAAAACCCATTCCTAAATGGCATTATGTTGTTGTTGTTGTTAAGTGCCATCAGTTCCGACCCATTGCGACCCTGTATAGGTTTCCAAAGAGCAGGACAAAATGAAAAATATCATACAGTGGGGACTCTATCTTCCCCCCCACACTCTTAAACTCCCTCTTGAACCTTGTAAGCCAGTCACTTTGTGCCTTTATCACCCCCTCATTTTAGGTAGCCAATGTCTAAGTTGCCCGTCCCTTTCTACCCTGTATACAGAGGGAATAGCATTGATACTTGATGTGAAGACTCCTTCCCTCTCGGTTAGTATTTTGAGCTACTAACTCTATGACTATAGGTCAAGTTCATTTACCCTTGTTTCCTTTATCAAAAATTGTTTTTTGGTTTTTATCTTCCTCTAGTCAAGTTCTGATTATCAAGCCATCAAGGCTAGGTCAAATGGGTACCATCTGCAAGTTTGGGTGTTCTTGCTCATCTCCCCTCATTTCATATCAGCTGGATGCTTCACTCTCAGCTCTAGCCCTCTGTGGCTATGTCCTTGTCCATAGGCTCAGGAGTCCCCAGGTTTCATCACACTTTGGACCAACTAGCCCTTCCTCGTCTCTCTCTCATCTCCAGGTCAACGGGAGTCAATGGACTGTGGTTGAACTCAGCCCATTTCTTCATTTCAGCCTTTCTGCCTCTTCCACTCACCAGTCGCTAACAAGCTTACATGCCTGTTCATGTATTCCCTTTGAGTTTCAGTCTTAGAGGGAGGCTTTTTATCCTTTTTTGTTTTTGTTTTTTAATACCCATTGTGTGGAGTTAATTCCTACTGGTGGGTTTGAAAGGCTGACCTTTCAGTTAGCAGCTGAGTTCTTTGATCAGTGCACCACCAGGTCTTGCTTAATTACAGGTGGAGGGGTTAGGACTTAAAACACATGTTTTTTGGGGGACACAATTCAGTCCATAACAGCATTCAAGCATTGCAACAGGTCTTGGAGATCCAGCAGTGAACAAGGCCTACCTGCTACCCCAGGATTCAGTTGATGAGGAAGACAAGTGAAGAGATCCAAGCAACACAGTGTGACAAGTCCTGAGATGGAAGTACAGGGGAGGCACAGCACGCCTCTCCGGAGTGTATCCCAACCCTAGGGTACTGTGAAAGAGACCCAGGTACTAGCATCAGAAACAGCGGGACTTGGGACTCTGGCAAATAGCTTGGTCTCTAAGTTTCAGCTTCACACTGTAGCATCAACCACTTGTGAGCTGCAGTTGAGTTGACCCCTGACTTCTCCTGACCCCATGCACAACAGAACTAAGCACTTCCTGTGCTACATAATCAGCTGTGGGTTGGACCCTTGTGATGCATAGGGTTGTTTTGTTTTGTTTCATTTTCTACATTTTTACTGTGAATTGAGTGAAGGTTTATTGACCAGATCATCCGTTTTACATTCAACACATCAGCTGCTTTCAGTTTAGCTCAATGACTGCAATCCTCTCATGATAATGTCACTTACCTCACTTGCATCCTGTGATTCTGGTTTCCATTCCCAACCCTTCGGAATTTTGTCCTTGGATAAATGCTGACCATTCTATGTTGTGCATACCTCCGTAGTGTTGTTGTCCCCTCTGTATCCCTATCTACTGCTCAGCTGAAAATTGAGCCACCAGGGTGAGTTCAAGGATCTCTGGTAGCATAGTGGTTATGAATCAGGCTGCCAACCTCAAGGTCAGCAGTTTGAAACTACTAGCTGTTTCGCAGGAGAAAGATGAGGTGTTCTGCTCCCGTAAAGATTTACAGCCTCAGAAACCCTGTGCAGGGTCCCGATGAGTCAGAACCGACTCCATGGTATTTAACAACAACAATAACAACAGGGTGAGTTCAGTTCCAGACCTGAAGACTAACCAAGGGTCATAGTCTCAGATTTCACCAGTCTCTTTCTGACCAGTAGACCCATAGGCTTATATTTGGAAGTAGGATTAGTAGGTCTTTTTTCCTAATCTGGAAGCTCAGTTGAAAGCTGTATATCACCATAGCAAAACACCAGCCTCTACTGACCAAAGACTGGGGACTATGCCTAAGAGAGGTGCATTGGCAGGGAATTGAACCCAAGTCTCCTGCATTGTTGTTTTTATGGTTGGTTAGGTGCCATCGAGTCAGTACCGACCCATAGTGACCTTATGCACAGCAGAACGAAACAATGCCCGATCCTGGGCCAACCTCACTATTGTTGCCACACTTGAGTCCATCAATGCTGCCACTTGGCCAAGCCATCTCATTGGGGGTCTTCCTCTTTTTCTCTGACCCTCCACCTTACCAAATATGATATCCTTCTCCAATGACTGCTCCCTCCTGACAATATGTCCAAAGTATGAGAGATGATGTTTGGCCATCTTGGCTTCTAAGGAGCACTCTGGCTGCACTTCTTCCAAAACGGATCTATTGGTTCTTTTGGCAGCCTAAGGCACTTTCAATATTTTCCTCCAACTTCATAACTCAAAGGCATCAATTCTTTACGGTCTTCCTTAGTCACTGTCCAGCTTTCTCATGCATATGAGGTTATTGAAAATACTATGGCTTGGATCGGGCACATCCTAGTCTTCAAGCTGACATCTTTGCTCTTCAACACTATAAAAAGTTCCTGTGCAGCAGATTTGCCCAG